ATCGTTGAACCTAGGCCATTGATGTATTTGTATGACAGTGTGGCTATAAGTTTAATATATAGATTTTAATGAGTAATGATTATCATTAATAATTTATCATTATAATCATACTATTTATACTGCTATCTACCTATACTTAGTGACTTCTATATTATGTTATAATGACCCCCCCTCCCCCCGGATGTGTACATCAACCTAGTACTACAGTAGTACCTACTTATATAGTATAATGTGGTATACTAAATATCTTAATAGTTAAAAACAAATGTGGAAATATGTGTAGTGTATTCATTACGTATGAAACTATCTGTTTTCATTGTAAATGTAATATTTTAGTTGATAATATTTAAGTGCGTAGTTTGGTATAATTATCTGTGGGGGCTATATTATATAGGTCAATAAAAACGTATTTAAATAAAGTAAATAAGAATAGGAAGATAAAAATAAAAGAGATACATGAAAGACAAAAGTATAGATACGGTAACGGCAACGGCTTGCATGTTCCTTTTTCCGATTGGCTGGGTGACGGCGGACCTCTTTTGTCCTATCCTTGTACAGGCCAAGGACAATACGCGATGGTATGAGGAACCGTTCTGGTCAACGGTTTCTCCGTCATCAGTATTATTCGCGTGAAAAACTGATGTAACGCCGTTTTTTTTTTTGGAAAATTTAACATGATTCGGTGAAAACCAATGTTTAAAGAATAATAGTTGTTCATGTAATAATACAGTAGGTATAGAGGTACCTGACTTRTGATACTGTTAAGTGTAAACTGTTGAATTGAAACATCCAGAGTGCAAACCATAATTTTACTGAACGCGTGAGGTTTTTTTTTATTGAATTTCAATAAAGGGTGCATATCTGTATAAAAGAATCACAATATATAATATATTATATAAGTTTACAAATAAGCTATACTTAAGGATTGTCAGCTAATAGCTATATATGTATTGGCATCGATCGGTGTGATATATTTAATTATTACCTTTCCACAATATTATTGATATTATMGTCTTTTTTGTTTAATGTGCGAGCTTAGTAAGAAATTTCAAAAAACTATAGGACAAAAATTCAATGATAAAAAAATAACAATAAAGTTGTATCAGTATTTACATTAAAAAAATTGATACCTATTTAGGACACATTATTAAAGAATTTACTTATGAAATGTTAACAGATAAATCACGTTGTATTTATATTATAATGCTTCAATTATGATTTTATTATGATTTTTATTTTTTAATGTGGCCTGAAAGTCCAAAATGTTGGCCCACTACTCTTCTGTATATACGAATTAAATGAATGAGAATAAAGAATAATAGGCATTGGACTCTTATAGAATTTTTTTTTTAATAACTTTCATATTTACCGTTCTCTTTATACATCATAAACGTAGGTATAGTTATACCTTTACTAAGAAATCCGTCATTTTCAATAAAACAAATTTTAATGGAGTAAAACTATTGAATTCAATATATTAAGATAAATTAATCAAATTTTGGTTGTATATTCTATAGTGACAATGAAAAGTGCAGAGGAGGACAGGTGTAGTCCAATTAATAATCATAACTTGAATAGTTTATACCTGATATACAGCTAGTATACCTATATATATATATATATATATATATATATTATGAACTGTAGTCGTTTAGGTACACATAAACGATGCCATCTGGCTTTGATTTATACAATGACAACACAGGTTCCTGACCCGATCACAGGTCGTGTACCTTTCGGATTTAAGAGTAGCCTAAAAAGACTGATTTTTTTTAAGATCACGATTTCGTTCATATTATACGCGTAGGTACTAAAGTGTATATACGAATTTTAGTAAGTAAATATGTATTATATACATTATACATATAGACCGACGACAATAAAAGTCATAATCTGAATTCTAATTCAGCCGATAAATAGGTAATGAATACATCAAATGTTATTTAAATATCTCATATTCTCATCCTGAGCCAATACCAGTTCGTTTAATTATTATTCGTATACTACAAATACATAGGTACTATCTATTATTAATACAAATAATTTTATGTGTAAGACGCGTCTTTAAAATTTAAGGGTAAGACTACTGCTAGGTATAATATGTTTCGGAAAATGAGTTGGTATCTAAAGTTTTTTATTTCTAACGCATTTAAGCTTGTAATACTTTAGAGTAAATTAAATTACAATTTTACCATTTAAAATATGGTAAATAMAATAATAAATAATAATGTTAGTATTATGAGCAGATCTATATTGTATGCCATTTTGAAGTTATTTAATTTATTTAATATCTGCAGTGGATGCCGAATTTACCTATTGTCTACACGAAGGAATGATGATAGTATTTTTAAAGTAATTATAATCAATATATTACCTATACAAGTATACAACAGATAATGTTTGACCAATAATATTTTCAAGTAAAACACAGATGTAAATATAACTATAATATATATAATTATTATAAATATACAGTCAACCCTACACGCATTATATACCAAAACTATATCAATTATAGCTAATAAGTAAAAATATGTTATAATATTTTATTATATAAGTATTATGTGTTGTGTA